TGGCGCGGGAAAAAACAAAACGACCTGGAGTCTCCATGACCCTTTAAACATGGGTCAATGACCCCATAGTTTGGGCAAAGCCCCATTCATTTTTTAAGGGTCCTGGAGATGCCGTTGCAGAGGCTATGATGAAAGGACTTCGTGTCCACTTCGGACGTGAAAGATAGGAGATTTCCCTCAAACGCCCTCAGGATCCGAAGAAGAGATGGCATCTGAGAAGGCTCAGCGTCCCAAGAGGGGCTGAACACGGGTGTGTCTTTGTGAGGGTACCCTTTTGGGTTGGTTTCAAAGGGAAACCACAAGGACAACCGCAATTTTGGGTGTCCCCTAAAAAGGACACACTGAGCTCTTGGAACCTCTGAACATAACATAACCCTTGCGGAAACCAAAGGCCCATGAAACTGTCGAGTCTGGTAATTGCAGTCGCAATCCAAGCAGACCCCAAAATAAACCGGGCCCCGCAACATGGCCGTTGGCAAATGAGTTTGACCAAGAAGGATGAGGCTCATGGATGGATGTGTGTTTCTGTGCTTCCAAGCAATACTTGCTGTTCGACCTGTCAGTATAAAGCTGGATTATGCCTTTTGGCCCCAACATGAACCATAAGCGGGTTCATCATATGAGGTCCCCCCCTCAGCCGTCACCTCACTTACTCCAGTGGGCCTTACACAAAACACAGAGCTGGACGTGGACCCGACATGAAACCACAAGGTCAGCTCAGCTTGATTCGCCTTGGCCAAGTGATCAACCCTTCTCAGCCTCTGCGAGGTTCCCTGTGTTGGATGGTACCCTTTTTTGGGGCGCAGGGAAGCCAAAAGGGAAAACGTCGGGTTTTTGTTCCATATTTGGAGACCAACCAATGGGATCCAATGGGTTTCTACGCCCTCTCTTTGCGCGAAGGAAAGTCTGGAGGAAACCACCCCAACAGATCAACAGACAGGAGGGTCCACGGGAAGCTAGAGGTAAGCCATAGAAAGCCATGGATCGCAACAAGGGCCCCAAGGAAACCAACAAAGACTCTAAAAGCAAGCCACCGTAAGGGCCCTTACAAGTGTCCCAACCACCTTGAACAGATCATAAAGGGCGCTAAGGGAATGCCGGGAACGCACAAGAAAAACCAGCATAGAACCATACATAGAATCGCTGTGCGTGTTCAAGATGACAAAGGGTCCTTACAAAAAAGGGGATCCATGTGCCACAATGTATTTCCAGAAATAACTATTGTTTGTCTAGGTTTTAACAAACTTCATCACTTGAAAAAGGCATGCCCTCGCCTCTCCAGCCACCTCCAGAAAGGCCCCAGAGCTCCCCTTGAGGCCCAGGGAGAGGTTGATGGGTGCGTTGCTGCCCCCGTTGTGCAGGCGCACCGAGCTCCCTGGCGTCAGCAGGAACAGGACCACCTCCTCGTGCCCACGTCTGACATGCCCCACCCAGCCGGCTCGTCTTTGGAGCTTCATGTCCAGCTTTAGCCCTATCTATGGACGAAATCTCAATTTGACCGGGGGTTGGAAACGGAAAAGCCCGAGGGAACTATTTGGCTTCTGGGGTTCCCTAGACAGCCCCGGCAAATCCTTGCACCCTAAGCACGGCGATCGGTAGTTTGCAGTCACCCCCTGACCTCCAAAGCAACTACCAATGGGGGTAGCTGAAATGCAGTGTTCATGAAAAACAAACAAACAGAATAAATAACAAAACAACAAAACAATTCTGGAAAAGAGTTTGGGCCTGTTGGTACATCTCCCATCTCTGCAGACTCGAACGCGAATTTCCACAGTGGCATGGGCGTTCTGACCACCAAACATGACATGTCTTCTCGAGGCTTACTGCAAAATAATCTCAATCGACGCCTTCGATTGTTTAAGCGCTGTAAGGCATGAACACTAGTCCCGGCAAGATGTTCTGCAGGCTAGCTGTGTGGAGTGTAATGCAATATCACCTTACAAAGAAAATGGAACACATCCCAATGGAGCAAGAAAGGCAGGCACTGTGTTCAAGCTCAATTATAAAAACAGGGTGTGATGCTGCGACCCAGGTGTGAAATCTGTCAAACATGGGGGTGGCTATCAACTTGTCAATGTTTTCACCAGGGGTCAACAATTGAAATAATATGAACGTCGCCCAACTCCAGTCATCGAATTCAAAGCCCGCTATGTCTTTCATAAGTTCCACATGCATGGATTGCGGGCCGCATTTGCAATGCGGGTTGGCTTGATTGATGACAAGCGAGGACAAACATGTAGTAACCCCCCTCCTCCGTGTTGTAGTGGATGTATGGCACATCTGCCGTGGGCAAATGCTGTTGCAGCAAGCGCGCAGTGCGGGGCATCAGGTCGCAGGCCTCCTACCAAGGCACTGAAATAGAAGGCAAGCTTCCATGGATCGACTTTCTGGACTAAAATTGGGCTTGCAAACACTCCCACCCTGTCCACTAGGGCAATGGGGATCTTTCTATCAGGTTTCCTTGTTTGATTACCCCACGACTGAAACCAAGCGGTAGTTG